CAGGGGGAAAAAAAAAAACAACCTGCACACGCAAACTTTATTGGGTTTCTCTATTTCAACTCGCATATCTAACATAGACATTAGAAATGCGTTCAATAAGTTTTAGTAGATATCGATCAATTAGGAAGAGGACTGATTAAGGAAAATGTCTTGGGGTTTTAGATTCAGCTGTTCATTGACTAGTTGAATGGATCTAAACACGCCGCTTTCATTTTTCTGGGTCTTTATGTAAACTGATAGAACGTTGGCAGCTTCTGCAATGCCATGATTCTGTGTTTCATCATGGCACCAAGCATTATGAGAGCTTCAGTTTTAGCCATGCAGCTTCTAATCTGAACATTTGGCCGAATAGTATGCATAACTTTAATACATATCTTTAATCTCGAATAGGAATTCTTAACTTACAAATAGTGGGGGTACAGGCAAGGCCCTATGATGGATCCCACAGTTCTTTAAAAGTATTTTTTATTTGTTTATGTATGTGTTTGGGGTGGGGCTAGGGACACGCCATAGTGTGCCCATGAAGACAATTTGCAAAAATTGACTCTCTTCTACTTTGTGGGTCCCAAGATTTGAACTCAGGTGTTCAGGCTTGGCAGCAAGCACCTTTGCCCACAGAGCCATCTTGTCTGACCCTCATTTTTCCTAATTCTTCTCTCCTTAATGCTGTATTTCACTGAAAAAAAATTGAGATATAGATAGAACAATATCTGCCTTTATTCCGGAATATTTCCAATCCTCCTTCTAGAGACTCAAGTTTGGATATTGGTGTCTAGAAGGGACGGAGTGGCAGCAGTGTGTCTGAGTCATTGATACGTGTTGACTTACAACACTGTGTCTTCCTCAAGGATTTTCTCTGGTCTGCACTTATCTTTGGATAGAACAATGACAGAGCCCATGTGCAGAACGTTGTCTCCACACTCATCCCTTGCTGCCTGGGAGCCTGTGACCTCACAGTTTCATTTGGACTTTGGTTTTTTTCAAAAGACAACTCTGCAAAGATCAGCTTTTCTTCTTTTTTTTTTAAAAAAAAATACATTTGAAAATCATAAATCTTTTCTTTTGCTTTTCTTATAATTTATTAACTGTACATTTGTGTAGTTTAACGCTTTTCTCCCCCTTTATTGAAAATAGATTCTTTTCTCGCCGGGCGGTGGTGGCGCACGCCTTTAATCCCAGCACTCGGGAGGCAGAGGCAGGCGGATCTCTGTGAGTTCGAGGCCAGCCTGGGCTACAGAGTGAGTTCCAGGAAAGGCGCAAAGCTACACAGAGAAACCCTGTCTCGAAAAAAACCAAAAAAAAAAAAAAAAAAAAAAAAGAAAATAGATTCTTTTCTCATACGATGTATCCTGATTACAGTTTCCCCTTCCTCTACTCCTCCCAACCTCCGCTTCCATCTGGATCCACCCCCTTTCTGTCTCTCGTTAGAAAAGAACAGGCTTCAAAGAGATAACCAAACATGACCAAATAAAGTGCAATAAGGTAAAACAACAACAACAACAACAACAAATCATCACATTGAGGTTGGACAAAGCAAACCAACAGAAGGAAAAAGAGCCCCAAGAGAATGCACAAGAATCAGAGACCCACTTGTTCACATGCTCAGGAGTACAGTAAAAATATTAAACGGAAAGCTAGAATATATATGCAAAGGTGTAGTCCCGTGTAGGCCCTGTGCCTGCTGCTTCAGATATGAGCTACCTGATTTAGAAGGCCTTGTTCTCCTGGTGTCTTCCATCCCTGCTGTCTCCTACACTCTTTCTGCCTCCTCTTCCTCAGGGTTCCCTGAGCTCTGAGGGGAAGGATTTGATGGAGACATCTCGCTTAGGGCTGTGTGTTCCAAGGTGTGTGTGTCTCTGCGTTCGTCCAGCTGTTGGTCTCTGAGTCTGTTCCATTTGCTGCAGGAGGAAGCTTCTCTGATGACTGATGAGCAAGACACTAATCTGTGAGTGTAGCAGAATGTCATTAGGAGTCATTTTACTGCTGCCAAATAATCCAATTAAAAATGGGGTACAGATCTAAACAGAGAATTCTCAGTAGAGAAAACTCAAAGGGCTGAGAAACACTTAAAGAAATGTTTAACACCCTTAGCCATCAGGGAAATGCAAATCAAAACTATGTTGAGATTCTGTCTTACACCTGTCAGAATGGTTAAGATCAGTAATGCAAGTGATAGCTCATGCTGTTGAGGATGTGGAATAAGAAGAACACACATCCATTGTTGCTGGGAGTGCAATGATAATTTTTAAAATTAGTAAAAAGCATAGAATGGTCCCAGTCATTGGGTATTAGCAAAGGAGATATGACATTGTTTTCTAGCATTAATAATAAATCACACTTAATCGAAAGCTTATTTCCTACAAATTGGAGGGAATAGCATTGGAACTGAAAAAAAATTGAAGGCAAATAACTCAATATAGCTTTCTTGCTTTGCTTTTTGTTTTATGAGACAGGGTTTCACTGTGGAGCCCTGGCTGTCCTGGAACTCACTCTGTAGACCAGGCTGGCCTTGAACTTACAGAGATCTGCCCGCCTCTGAGTGCTGGGATTAAAGGCATGAGCTGCCGCCACCTGGCTAGACTTTTTTATTTATTTATTTTTGAGACAGGTTCTCATAACTTTTAAATTATAACCTGTTTTTATGTTCAGGCTATCTGTGTATTATTTCCCCTGCAGTTGTACATAAAGTGTTTTTACATAAAAAAGGACAAATACTATAGAATTGTATTACATGAAATATATAGAATATACAAATTCATAGAGACAGAAATATTGGACGTTATCTCAAGATGGAGAAGAAAGGAATATAGAGCAATGATTTCCTAACTACAGAATCTCTGTTTTGTGCGATGGAAAAGCTCCACAAATGGGCAGTAGTATCAGGACATAATATCATGAATGTAATAAATCAATGCAATTAATATAATTAATGAATATCATAAATATAATTGTTGAATGAATACTGTGAATGTAATCAATGAATATCAAAAATGTAATTAATATCATGAGTGTAATTAATGAATATCATGAGTGTAATTAAAAAAAATAATTCTTATATTGACTGCAGCAGAAGGTGACCTTGAACTCCTGATCACCCTACCTCTACTTCCATCCACATTTTATGACTGTTTTAAGCTAGAGTTATGTGCATGTCATTCAAGTACTCTATCTATTGAGCTACATCGACAGTCATCAAATACATTCTTGGACAAACTTTCAAATGCGTGTGTGTGTGTGTGTGTGTGTGTGTGTGTGTGTGTGTGTGTGTGTAAATCTCTCTGCTTAAATGTTGGAAGGAAATAAAGGATGTCATGGAAGCAACGAAATACTTTCTGATTGTAAGGAAATCAGCCCCTAGTGGGAAAAGATGAATAGATCCCTCCTGTATGAGACTGAGGAATTGAGACTCCATGAAAAACATATAAAGTGTTAGCCCTGTGTAGATAATGGGAGATTTGATTTGAAGCTGGGGATTTGGGGAAGAACTCAAGGAGATGATGATTTTTCATCTGGGCCAAGGTAATTGGGTACCATTCTAAGATGCACAGATGAGGGGAAAGGAAACACAAGATCAAAGGAACCGTAAGAACAAGACTCAGAGTGTTATTAAAGGGTCAGGTACCCATTCAGCATTCCCAAATAACACTAGATAACTTTTATTGAGTGACTATTGTGAATTCTCACCACTCTCCATGGATCATTTGACTGAACTTTTTGGCTGAAGTCCGAAAGGAAATACCAGCATTAAGCTCACTGTACAGATGAAGAAACTGAGTCACAGATCACAAAGATGCTCACTCAAGATCCTACAGCTAGAACGTGAAGGATTGGAGTCTGCACCCACAACCACTATAGGATAATGTACACAGGGAAGGCAGGAAGAGCAGAGGGCCTCCTTTCCATCCTGAAGGGTTGACTCTCATAGATAATCAAAGAAGGAAGAGGAATTTTGTTTGAACTTGGGAGGGGGACATTTCTCAATTATTAATGGTAATTTGGGACAAGTGTGTGTTTAGTGTTGTACTATTCAATGGGGTAGCCACAGCCACATGTGGGCATGGGTGTTAGAAATATGGCTAGCCCCGAAGTGATTTCTGCTGTGCTTATAAGATGTACACCAGGTTTTAAAGATTTAGTGGCAGAGGAATAGAGACCCATTCATCATATCCCTTGATGTACACTGAAATGTGAGCTTAGATATGTTGGTTGAAATATAGTATTTAAGAAATTATTCTTGCATTTTTACTTTTATTAACGGAGAAGCTAACCAGTTATATTTTATCCATGATGCCTACATTTTATTCCTTGGGGGCAGTTTGACCTTGAGTGATCTTGAACTTGTGGTAGGTATTTTACTGATCACCTCTGATGAAGGGCTTCCTAGCCACATTGGTTTTTTTTTTTTTTTTTAACTATACACCTTCCTTGCTTTCTGGTCATTTGCAAGAAAATTTTTAGAAAGGCTTCCCCTTTGCAGGGGTTGGAGAAGCCCAAGAGTTTCCTCCTTCAGCTGTCCCCAACCACAAGCAAATGCTCAATATGCTCTGCTCTGTGGATGAGGAATTCACTTTACAAGGGCAGAGGGGGAGAATGTAACAACAATTTCCAGCCCCAGAGGGCGTGAGAAGTAAAAGCGCTTTCAGAGGATCCCACAAGAATGGCACAGGTGGGCACAGTGGGTCCGGGCTCGTCGTCAGAGAGCCCAAGGAGTCGAAAGGAAACTCTAGCTACAACCCTGCCATGCCACAAAACCAGAGTTACAATGCAAAGTAAGTTAGCTCCCCACCTATCTGTCACCATCTCATTTTAAAAAACGTGTGAAAATACGTAATCCCGAGGAGGCTTCGATGAGGTATAAATACTGGCAGAAGAGGAGGCAACAGGGTATAGCTTCCATTGGCCGATCGGCTACTAGAGAAGACACATCACCGAGTCCTTTGGACCCATTGGCTTAATCCAGGTGCTCCGGACTCCTACTGCGTTGGCCTAGCTCTGAGACAATGAACGCAAGGCGCTGCATCTTGGCTTTGTTGCTCTGCCTCACGCAGGCTATTTCTGGCTGTTACTGCCAGGGCACACTCATTGAAGAAATAGAAAATCTGAAGAAACATTTTGTGAGTATGACCTTTTAATAACGCTTGTAGTTGACAACGACTGACGTTGACTTGCCGCTCTCAACACTAGACTGCCGTCTGGTCCACAGTCATTTTGAGAAGATGGGGTGCTACGTTGCTCTTTGCTAGCGAGGTGTTTATTGACCTAATAATCTTGATACTGATTTAGCTCTCTGTTCAATTTGGTATAGAGACTGACAGGGCATTTACAGATCTCCCCGAAGTTGGGCATAGTATGAGTATAAGGTACAAACATATGCATCATTTTGTGATTTTTTTTTTATATCGTTTAGTCAGGATAAGAAGCATTCTTACCCTCATGGTTGGCTGTTCATTTCTCATTCTTCAGACTACTATGAAAGTGATAGTGAGAGGTGAATATTGCCATTAAAAAAAACCCAGGGAAACAACTTAGCCCTTAAAAGAAACAGAAGGCAAAGTTCTTTAAGTTTCTGCTTACGAACTTCCCCCTGCATATGTTTTCTCTAATGAGAGATTTTGAAATTCTACTACAAGTGACTGAAGTCGCTGAAGCTAGCCACTTACTGAGGTCTGAGAGGAGTTATGTTTCTTAGAGTCTTACATTTTTTTTCTTTGGTGAATTTCCTTTTGAATTAACTAAGGTTAATGAAAATAATTTTTTTTTATTCTTAAAATTTTATAATTTCTCCCGAACGTATGCTATTATACACATAGCTATTATAACAATGTTCAAGCATGCACAGGCAGTTTTATCCTCACGATGCAAACCAAGCTGTCTCACACATGTGTTTGGAGCTCTCTTTTAAAGCAGCTATTAAGACCTAAGCTTGCAGTCAGCTGTAACAGAAGCCTGTACCATAAGGGGGCAGTGTGGACAGTGGGATTGATTTGATGGCTTTTTTTTCTTTCTCCCTCTCTTAAATTGAGAGTAACTTTCTTTAGCTCACTGCAGCTACTTGGGGTCCTTGAAATCTCATCAGCTTTTTTGAGTTTATTCGTGGCCTTGCAATTCAAGATTAGGCTAGTAAGTACTAAAGCTAAAAGAATGTAATAGTCTTTGACTAAATCGAACGTGGAATCTTTTGGTGATGCTTGTTAGAAGTAAATGGAAGGGTTGAGAAGGAAATCAGTGACTATTGTCAGCCCTGAATTCGATGAACTCCATAGATATTTTTAGGGTGGTTGGTGAACTAATTACAAATTCATCTTTTCTTTTTTCCACAGAACTCAAGTAGCTCAGATGTCGGGGATGGAGGGGAACTCTTCTCTGATATCTTGAGGAACTGGCAAAAGGTAAGCTAAACGGTCCTTTTTGCCTATTTTTTTCCCTGTTTCTAATGGACCAGTTCTCATCATCCACTCTTTGTGCTCTTGTGTCCCAAGGACGGCGATACAAAAATCATTGAGAGCCAGATTGTCTCCTTCTACTTCAAACTCTTCGATGCCTTGAAGGACAACCAGGCCATCCAGGAGAGCATAGGCACCATTGAGCAAGACCTGTTAGTCCACTTCTTCAACAGCAGTGAGGAGAAACGGGATGACTTCATGAAGCTCATGAAGATTCCGGTGAGGCGACTTTGCAAAATATCGTATCAATGTATTTTTTGAACTGTGTTGAATTATCTGATGGTAGAAATTGGCTACTGATGAAGCTGGGAGACGAGCCCTTGTCTGAGATGTTTCCTCATCATGGGCATGCTGGGAGGGACTTTGTCCGCTTTGGAAAAACACAGACATTCAAACCGTTGCCCACATGATGGGTAAATGCTGAGGAGGAAGCAGCCAAGGGAGCAGTGAGCAGGGCTCTTGTGGTCCCCCCTGGGTGTGTGATGGAAACTCTCGCTTAGGATGGGAGGTTGTGTGTTAGTGGAAAGAGCAGTGGGAGGGAGTGAGAAGACTTTGTATGCTCCTCCTCCCAGCCAGGCCACAAGGAGCTGTGACTTCAGATGACTCACATGCCTGGCGGGGCTGTCATTGCCTCATCTCGATAGGAACCAGCTGGGATCACTACATAAGTTTAATCTCTCTTGCCAAAAACAAAACCAAACCAAACCTGCATGGTGTTGTAGGTAGAAAATGAGAGTGAGAGCAGAGAAGTAGCAGAGTCTTGGAGGAGACACCTCAATGTCCTTACCCTGGTCTCTGGTTAGCCTCTCATGCTATGCAGTCCAATTTGTTTTGAGGAGAAGTCACGGTAGACATCCTGGGAAGGATTGCTTTGTATAGCTTATGAAAGGCTCATTCAATTAACTTTCTGATATGGGGGTATTTCAGTTCTTCCATGCTTTATATCATGAATCCGTCCTAAGCCTTTAAATCACGGCTTCCGGAATCTGAAAGATAACTGGAAAGCATAAAGACAAATCTCATTTTTAAAAATTTTACCTAGAATGCAAAGATATTCTAAACTCTTAGGCTTTGATGGTAAATGGGCTCAAATGAAAGAAAGGGACAGGTGTCTTCTTCTGTGTTTTGTGGCCTTATTATTTGTACCCAGCTTCCAGTCTACCTGAGCCTGCCTCTAACCTGACTCATGCTCTGTAGCAGGGGCTGGAAGATGGTAGCATGTCCTAGTCCGTCAGCTAGAGATGGATAAAGTACTTGTTCCTAACTCACTTCCACTTTGGGCTTACTGTTCAGCTCTGGCTAAGTCTCTGGGATTCTTGGCAATGTTTTGAAAACTGGAAAATAGATTAGTCTTCCCAACATACAGCTGGTAGAGACTTGTTACTCCTAAGGCCTGGGTTCCATCTTTCTGGAAGTTCTGGGGGTTGTGCTTCCTATGGGTGATCGTGAGCAAGCTCTTAACTCTTGTCCTGTTTTGTTGCATTGTCAACACATTTTAAGAACACACACACACACACACACACACACACACACACACACACACACACAGACACACAGACACACAATACTTTCTTTAGTAACTAGTCTTATGCCCTATAAGCCTCTGAACCCTTCTTGGAAATGTAGCAAGGAAGTCAGAGTATTTCCAACATTAGACAAAACAAGCCAGGTAACAGTAAATGGTCTTCATTTTATTAAGCATTAAGTTGCCCAAGTGGCCCTCCTGCTTTGAATGGAGAAGTTGTTTAAGTAGTTAAACTAATGGAATAGAAGGCAGAGAAGAGGAAATATTGTTGCACCTCCAAATTTCAAGTGTTGTCAGCAAATTGATTATTACTAATCTGAGCATGATTCATTTTTAATTCCATTCTAGACAGGATGACATCGATCTGATCTGGGAGAAATTTCAAATGACATTTTTCATTTATTTTGGACTTGAGTTTATTTTTTCCCTTAGTACTCAGCTTGTGTTGGTAGCTCTCAAACTTTGCCTGGTATCAGCATCTCTTGAGGGAATTTAGCTCCCAAAGAGCTAGGCCTTCTCCTTCCTATACCTGGATCTCTGGGCTCCTTGGTAGATCTTCAAAGCATTCTGCCATACCAAGGGAAGCCTTGGCCCACAGGAATTTTTTTCGTATGACTAAAAAGGACTAATCAAAGCATAGGGTGGTAGACTTTGTAGATGAAGAGATCACTCAGGAGGCTCTTCACAAGAAAGCAAGTTCCAGGAGATTAAGTGTCTGGTTCAAGGCTAGGGTTACTGCAAACTCATTCCCACTCCCAGCTCCCATTCTACCCAGGAACCTTTTTAGTATTCCATTTTGAGGTTTCTGTAGCAGTTAAGTTAAAGTTAGATATGTGGTGTATCCCATCCCATTCCTTCTTGTACAACGTGGACACTGAATGATCCTTATAGTCTTAACTGCTAACAAAGTGACCATAAAAAAGAGAATACAACAAATGAAAGGAATGTGTTGCTGTATAGAATTACTTTCTTAAAAGGAATATTTCCATTTTCACTGATCACAATGTTAAAAGAAGACTATTCCAGCGGCTTGCATGCTTGGAGTTAATTTCATTTTGTCCCCCCAACAGGTAGATGACCCACAGGTCCAGCGCAAAGCTGTCAATGAACTCCTCGGAGTGATGTACCGCCTGTCGCCAAAAAATAGCCTCAGGAAGCGAAAAAGGAGTCGGTGCTGTTTCGGGGGTGGAGCTCGTCCAAATAAGAACAACGCTGCCAGCAGCACTATTTGAATTTTAAATCTAAATCTATTTATTAATATTTAACAATTATTTATATGGAAAGTATATTTTTAAACTCATCAACCAAAGAAGTATTTATAATAGGAACTTTTATGTGATGAAAATGACTTTCTATTAATATATATGTTATTTATAATTTCTGTATCCTCAACTATGTCACTTGACCATTTTCCTCTTTCTGACCAATGAACCAAGACGGTGGGATTCAAAGATTGTATCTCAGGGGCCAGTCGACCAGTCAGTTGACTGAAGTCAGACTGTGGGTGGTAACTGATTTTTACTTGACAATGAGGAACACTCACTACAGTGACGCTGCGAGGCGCTGCTGGCCGGAGAGCGCGTCTACACCCTGAGCCAACGCCTCAATAGCCGGTCAGCCCTGCACCGTGTCAGGTAGTCCAGATTGTCCCTCGAGGAAAAGGGTGCCTCACACCTGGTGCTTCTGAATACTGCTGAAAACCGTGACTGCACCCCAATGGCAGATCACTCCCTTGCCGATAGTTTCTCACTGTCTAATGCAGATGAATAAAGTGTACTTTCACAACAACGCACGCTGTGTCAGACTTCTTCTAAGAGACGACTCGGGTGAATGAGCCACCTATGGATGAATGGGAAGGAAATGAACCGTCTTTAGTCGTGGGAATCTTAGAGCTGCATTAAGCCCCATTACGTGTGGTGCTTTGCTCTACTGACAATTTGCCGTTTTTTTTCGCTGCTCGAGTTGGCAGCTGTTTGAATTTTCTTTCGAAGATACGTGTCTAATTACATCACCATTCAGCGTAGAGCTCTCGCGGTGGGAAGTATCCACACTGCTTAGCTTGGCATTTTGAATTTGCTCTTTCTTCCACACTGCCATGCCAGCATTCCCTCCCACAGTCACTGCAGGCAAACATCATTGGTGTACGTCTTAGGGTTTCTATGACTATGAGAAAACACCACGACCAAAAGCAACCTGGAAAGGAAAGGGTTCATTTCACCCCTTAGATTGTAGTTCATCACTGAGATAAGCCAGGGCAGGAACTTGAGGCAGGAACCTGCAGGCAGGAACTGAAGGGGATGCCATGTAGGGACATTGCTCACTGGCTTGCTTCTCATGGCTCACTCAGCCTGCTTTCTTATACCACCTGTCCAGGAGGGGCACTGTCCCGCTGTAGGTGGTGGGTTGGGCTCACCTACATCAGTCATTAGGAAAATGCCCTACAGACTTGTTTACAGGCAATGTGATGGAGGAATTGTCTCTGAGGTGGTTCTTCCCAGCTTGTGCCAAGTTAACAAACTAATAGACACAGTGTGGCTGAGTTTTAGCTCTAGAGAGAGAAGCCTGGACTGGAACCAAGACTGTAAGAAATGTGACCTTTCATAACTTCTTTATATTCTCTAATCTTTCATTTATTTGAAAAAGAGGAGTGATTAAACATGGTTCTTCCTCACAGTCTTCTGGACTAATTCACTCTTTCACAAAATTGTATATATATATATATATTTTTTTTTTGGTATGGTACTTGATAAGTGCCTAGGTAGCTGAGATACTTTAAATCACTAACAACACACACAGATCCCTGTACTTGGAGAATTTGAACAACTAGGAAATAGACAATGAATAAAATACATTATATTCACTCAAGTTGCACGGTGTTTTGAAAATGCTTGTTGCTATGGAAAAATAAAGTAGTCCAGGATGGAGGAAACAGACTCTCTGTGGGATGAAGTGGGTAGTGCAGAGGTTCAAACAGAGTGATTACAGTTTCCTAACCAAAGAAAAACCATTTGAGGAGGAATTTGCAAAGGCGATACTCATTTGGATTCCAGACAAGACAAATACCCTTGCAAAGGCTTTGGAGTGAAGATTCCTTTGGCATGAAAGAAGAAACAGCAGACCTTCAGGGCAGTCCCAAAAGATGGAGGAGGGGACAGCAATCACCACAGGATGAGATGAAGTGTGGAAAGTCAGGGTGCCTTTTAAGTACAAGGAAGTTCATGATGTAACGACTTGCATGAACTCTGGGTTGTGAATTCCAGAAGATCCTCTGAGTCGGCATAAGATGGTCTTACAATGAGCATAGGAATGTGTAACGAGCTTGGACTTATAATCACTTACATAAACAAGTGATGGCTATAATGAGGTCATCTCTGCTGACCTCAGGACACTCAATGGTGACAAGATTAGAAATGTCAAGGACCATAGGAGGTTAGGTATCGGGAGCTTCCTTCTTAGTGTTTTTACTTTGTCTTCCCACATGCTCGTACTGGGTGAAAGAGTTTGTGTCAAGGGGTCATTTTCAGTGGTTATTGAAATCATTATTTGGTAGCTAAGCAACAGTGGCTTCAACCTGATTGCAAAACTTTAAAATCTTGGGTGGGGCAAGAATGAAAAAAATTAGGCGAACGTTGGCATGGCTGTGACCGACATGAAATGTTGCTGGTTAGATATTGAACTGATTGATGCAGACTTTATAATGTAACTGTAGATGGAAAGTTACTGTAATCTGGACCACAGAGCCAGATCATATCTATGGGGAAGGGTTTAGGATATCTCAGTCTTTCATTTTGAGAAGTGATTAATCACACAGAAGAAAGGGAAGCATTAGGGGTGCCAGTCTGGGGCTAGGTTAAAATTTTTTCCTTGTCTATGAGTGAAGGTGGTGTCAGTTTTACCCAGACTCAGACACAGAGAGCTGTACTGAATTATGTGGTGGGTTTGTAGCAAGGAGTGAGGCAGGCAACATCCTTCAGTAGAACTTGAGTTGAGACTGGCCTGTTCAGTGGTTGTCAATAATTCTTTATATGTCGTTATCTTTCTTCTGTGCTCACATTTAGTCTCTGGGGTGCTGCAGGATTTAAAGAAGGGATCGACTGTATTTTATAAGGGAGATAAGAGTGGCAATTATTCTTGGCCTATGTTAGCAGGGATAGGCATCTCCCTTGGCCCAACAGCGAGAGTGGAAGTGGCCAAGGCCTGGAGTGAGAGCACAGTGTAGTACAAAGTCCCCTTCCTTCTCAGCATCTCTCAAGAACAGCTGGTATCCCTTTGCTAGTGGATTATTGGTACCTGGGTGGCTGGGACAGAACAGGGTCTCTCCCCTTTCTCTTTTCTGTATTCTCTTTTCCCCACCCCCTCATATTTTGTAGTTCTCAGCCAGTTAGGTACATCAGAAGTCCATGGCTGGCGACCACGGAAGTCCAATTCTGAGTGCAGTGTGAAGAGTGTGCACACACAGGGGGAACCTTGGGTGGAGAGCATCAGAGCCTGGGCAGAATGACTATATTAGCTTCTGCTGGTTTAGTGACAAGTCACTATCTTAGTTGGGGGTTTCTATTGCTGTGAAGAGACACCAAGACCATAGCAACTCTTACGAAGAAAACATTTAATTGTGGGTGGCTCACTTACAGTTCAGAGGTTTAGTCCATTATCATCGTGGTGGGACATGGCAGCATGTAGGCAGACATGGTGCTGGAGAGGTAGCTGAGAGTCCTCCATCTTGCAGGCAACAGGAAGACAACTGTGATACTGGGAATAGCTTGAGCATAGGAGACCTTAAAGCCCACCCCCACAGTGACACACTTCCTCCAACAAAGCCACACCTACTCCAACAAGGCCACACCTCCTAATAGTTCCATTCTCTTTGGGGGGGCATTCTCTTTCAAACCGTCACAGTCACCACAAACTAGATGCTGTAAGACAATACAGTATTGCCTGTTAGCTTGGACAGCGGAAGTCCAAACCCAGGCTGAAATCAAGGTGTTGGCAAGGGAGACCCAAGCAGAGAACTTGTCTCCCTGTCTTTTCCAGTGTCTGACAATAAGCTACTCTTAATGTCAGGTACTGGCCTTCCCTTTCTTTAAAGCCTTCAATTTTGCACCTTGCAATCCCTCTCCCTGTGGCCCCAACACTCCTATCTCCCACTTACAAGGACCTTTGAAATTATATTGGGGTCACTTTAATAACTCAAGATCATGATGGCTAATCTAAGTGTCTACTTGACATATCTGGGAAGAGGTAACCCCACCTGAGGAAATGCTTCCATCTTCTTGGCCTGTTGCCGTGTCTGGGTGGGATCGTCTTGATTGTTGGATGATGTGAGAAGGCCTGGGAATGGGTGGTTCCAGTCCTAGATGGGTGGTCCTGAGAAGTATAAGAAAGGTGGCTGAGTGTGAGCCAGAATAGAAACCAGTGGCCAGCCTTCCTCCCATGGGTCCTGCCTCTGCTTCCCCTTGAGTTCCTACCCTGACTTCTTTTAGTGATGGACTGTGCTTGGCACACGTAAGCCAAATAAATCCTTTCACCCTCAAGTTTCTTTTGGTCAGTGTTTTATCACAACAGCAGAGAAGCAAGTTAGGACAAGGATCATGTCTCCACCTCAAATTTTTTAACTGCATCTGAAAAGTCCCTTTTACAATAGAAAGTAACATTTGTGGATTCTGGGGATTGGGACATAGGCATCTTTGCCGTGCCCTAGAGAAGACACCTAACAACGGTTTTCAAACTTTCAGCATTAGCAAAGGGCCGTCTGTGGGGAATGATAGCCTGGAGTGGGTGTCAGGGTCTAGGCAAGATGACAGGGTCATCTGTACATTCCAAGCACTCAGCGTGTGAATCAAAGTGAAGTAATTAGCATTCAAACAGAGAAGGTGTGTCAGCACAGATGGAAGACTGGTCACTTTGGGGCATTGAGGAGTAAGTACATGAAGTGTATGCTCTTAAGGGAGGATAAGCTTTGATTCTTAATATAGTTCCATATATTACATGTATATATTATATATGTAGAATGTAATATGTATTCTGAGAACGAAAAAGAGAATTACAGTATATAAAGGGATATTGCAGAATCAACTAGATAATTTGGATACATTAGTAGGAACATATAGTCTTCAATATAATGAGATAGAAAGGATCAGTGGTTACAAGGACCTATTTGTATATGTATTCTTGTCCCTGTCCCCTGAGATCAGCAATTTCTCATTAGTAATGAGGACACCTAGCTCCTGGGTCT